CACCTCACTAGGAGGCATCATCAGGCTGTGACCTGATTGGCAGGCTAGACTCCACCCCTCTGCTTGTTTATCAAGTTGACATGAAAGGATGTAACTACCACAGGGACCATCCTGACTGTCCCCGTTGTCCAAAGAGTGATTTGCAAAAGCTCATCGCTGAGCTTGAGGTTATCCAACATCCAGGAGAAGGTAGAACAGAAGGTTAGTGGCTTGAGGAATACAGTACTAAGAAATTGGAGAGGCAGTTCCAGAGCAGAAACCATCCACACTGAGATAGACCCAGGATTGTGGAATTTGGAGATCAGGGCAGAAGAGAGTTGGCGTGACAGGAGAGAGGTGGGCAGTCAGTGGTTTCCCTGATGGCTGCCTGAAAGGTTGTGTTCAAGTAAGACACCAGTATAGCAGTCTGGGAAACACGCCACCAATAACACCTTCATCTCTGGTTCTCGTAGGCTTCGTCTTGGGAGGTGCATTTGGGGTGTTCACCGCCGGTATTGACACCAACGTGGGCTTTGACCCCAAGGACCCCTACCGAACACCGACTGCGAGAGAAGTTCTTAAAGACATGGGGCAGAGGGGAATGTCCTATGCCAAAAACTTCGCCATCGTGGGCGCCATGTTTTCTTGCACCGAGTGTTTGGTGGAATCTGTAAGTGTCTCCGCCGTCTAGAGTCCAAGCCCGCTGTCATCTCGCTGCCTTTAGAGGGAACTGCTTTGATGTCGTTCTTAGAAAGCAGATCAGAAATGGCAGGTGCTTGCTGGGCTGCCTTCCCTCGAAGCAGCCCCTAGTGGAGTGGGGGTGTGAGCGTCTGGGAGGGGCAGTGACCGGCTGAGCTTTTGGGTCCTTTCCGACGCTGCACTTGGAATGAGTGCTCTGGTGCCCCCGGCAGGCAGCATCTGTAAGCACATTCAAATGCAGGAACCTCGCATTTCCCGTGGGGAGGGCCCAGCGGCTGGCCAGGAACCCTGGGTGCTTGCCCGTGCCCACTGGGCCTGGCTCTGACTGCACTTCTCCCCCCAGTACCGAGGCAAGTCGGATTGGAAGAACAGCGTCATCAGTGGCTGCATCACGGGCGGAGCCATTGGTTTCAGAGGTTAGTCAAGGGCTCTGCATGGTTTTCCTTTGTGGCCTGACAACCTGCTGAGGTTGACATTTCTCAGCAGGCCTCTGTGGACATTTGATAGCCCTCCCTTGGTGCCAGCGAGTCATCATGTTGGCCTCTCAGCTCAGTGTGGGAAACTTGGTCACATCTAGATCAAGTTTTCTTACCCTTAGCACATTGATGTCTTGGGCTGATTCATACCTTGTTTCTCCCCACATTGTCAGATGTCTGGTGGGCAAAGTGCCCCTCAGTTTAGAACTTAAATCGGTGATACCACCCCCTGGGGGAAGTGCTGGAACCAGCAAGGGTGTGTGTGTGTGGTGGGGGGG